TCCCACAGCTGATTGCAGAGCTGTTGGGCTCTTTTGGGAAGAGCAGCAGTTCTTTGATACGGTTTTTCCTGCGATGACCTCTTTGGTGGCACTTCCTTAAAAACACCACTTGCCACCACACGAGCCTTCCTTTCCCACCGCTCCCAGCCCCGCCGGACCCCGGCCGTCAAATCTGGAGCAAAACCAAACTGCAGCTGGTTTAAGCTGAGCAGGGCAAAAAGATCTCTTCTTTGAAGATTGCTCTAAGGTGTTAATTATCTTGTTCACTGGCAACTCATTTTGAGTCATGGAAACAGAGGCCCTCCTTGGATGCTCTAATATCTGCCTGGGGGTTTTCTTCCCCACCATTCCTTTGCGTGCATCCCACCGCTTGGACCAGTAGCTCGGGCTGGTGGCAAAGATGGAAAAAAGCAGCTGGAGGTTGGAGCAAGGTGCCCCCCAGCCCAGGCTGTCCGGGGAAGGTGTCTTGGGGTGCAGGGTGGGGGTACGCAATGCCCTTCCGCTGCGTCTCATAACCCCGCCGCAACCTGCAGGCTGTGGAATGGAAAGATCCCACTAGCTAAACTCACCGGCCCCTTTGGGAAAGCCCAGCTCTGGCTAAACAGGCTGTGCGGAGCTCCGGCTTCGCCTTCCCGCTTCCTTTTCATTCCCATCCTTTATCCAGCGCATAGTTCCCGGCCTGCCTGCCCTTGCGGGGCTGCGGCCAGGTCAGCGGGAAGGCGGCCAAAGCGAAGGGTAAACATCGACGTGCCGGAGAAGGGGCTCCGCAGCGGCAGCTTCTCCTTCGCTGCCTCTCTGCTGCTGCGGACGGCTGGGGAGAGCTCAGAGTCAGCCCGGTGGCAGGGCCAGAGGGGTCCAGGGACACAAATGATGTCCCCGAGCTGCCACCGCCACGCAGGTGCCCCGGCTGCGGGTGTTCCTCCATCTCAGGACTTGGCTGATGGTGGGTTTGCGCTTTCAGGCTGTACCTCTGCCGTGTTTGCTGGGGGGCTCGCAGACCCGCTCTGCTCCCCCCTCCTGCACCCAGCGAAGCTGAGACTGCCCCGGGGACGGCAGGGATGCCCCAGGGGAGAGTGTGTGCTCATGTCTCAGCCACCCCCAGCGTGCTGGTGCTGGGACCAGGACATCAGCGTTCAGTGAGCGGGGGGACTGATCTTTCTCCTTCACTGCTCATCACCGCTGGGTTGTTCCCTGCGAATCCCTGTGCCGGACCAAACCTGTTTTCTGCATCATCCTCCTCCTCCTCACTGCCATGTCAGGCAGTGCACACACTCACTTTGGGGCTGCAGAGGAGCTCGAGGCAGACCTGGCCATGCTCTCACATGGCGAAGGGCGTGCAATACCACCTCAGGCAGGCACACCTTGTTCTGGATGAGCATCCAGTCCCTAAAGGGGCTCCAGGAGAGCTGGGGAAGGACTTTTTACAGGGCATGGAGTGATAGGATGAGGGGGGATGGCTTCACACTGGAAGAGGGCAGGTTTAGATTAAACATTAGGAAGAAGTTTTTCACTGTGAGGGTGGTGAGGCACTGGCACAGGTTGCCCAGAGATTGTTTTGGCCCCATCCCTGGAGATGTTCAAGACCAGGTTGGACATGGCCCTGGGCAACCTGGGCTGGTGGGAGGTGTCCCTGCCCACGGCAGGAGGGTTGGAACTCGATGGTCTTCAAGGTCCTTTCCAACCTAAACCATTCTATGATTCTATCTCAGTCCATCCAGCAGGGCTCTGAGAGGCTGCTGGTTTAAAAAAGTCATACTAGGACTGTCAGGGAGAATGCACGCACCTTCCAGAGTTAAAACTAGAGGAGATGATCCTGCCCGTAGCAGATGATGGGGGCAGAGTTTTACTAGAGGCCAGAGAGCACGTGGGGCTGACGGCTGTAATCGTAGCAGCTTTATTTATTGCTTTGGGTTGCGATGGTGTGAGGCCTGATGAAGAGCTGCCCTTATCTGCCGACTTCAGCCTCCCTCCAGGAGAGATCTGGACTAGATTTACGTGGGAAAGCCTTGCAGCGAGCCCATCCACGCTGCTTTTAGTGCCTTGCACGCTGCGAAGGAGCCCAGGAGGTCCCGAGCAGGACACGGCTTGGTCCAGCTGGGAGCAAAGAAGGTGGACTTCCCACAGCGAGCTCACCTTGAGTTTTCTGGACCAAACACCAGGAGCAGCTCCCACTGCTGCGGGAAACACAGCGGCACGGGGCTGCCTCTACTACATGAAACAGGCCATCCTCTCCCAAAATCTCATTTCTGGAACAACCATTGCTTGTTTTCTCACTACTCACCGGCTTCTCTTGTTGCTTTGAGTGGGTGGGACAGCAGCACAGGTCAGCTGAGGCAAAACAGCTGCTTTAACCCATTTCCTATCCCCTGATGGAGCCGAGGCGGGTACCCAGCATGGGCCGGTGGCAAACACCACCACCACCACGTACCATTGCATCTGTTCCTCCAAGATGAATTTCCAGAAACACAACCCTTGGCTGCTCAGTCGTGCAAGGAGGGAGCCTGATACGTTATTTTGGTTTCTTGACACAACGTGATGCTTTCTTCCCCAGAATTGTACTCTTGCTAATAACGGGGACTCGAATTCGAGCTCAGGTGTCATCTCCGTGGACTCTGATGTCCGGGGGTTGAGTCAACACCCTGCTTGCCCTGGGAAACTTAGTCAAGATTTTTAAAGGCATCACGGTACAGTCCATAAAGAGATATAAAAGCCATAATAAAAGTGACACCAAAGATCGGTTCCAACACCAGCAGTGTCTGAGGGTTGGGCAGCTGTTACTGGGACATCTTTATGGGACCCCAGCACTAAAGTGTTGATGTCAAGGACTGGCACACCAGGGTGCATCCTGGGAAATCATCGGGGAGACCGTGTGCGTCGCTGGGACCTGTAACCACCCAGTGCTCAGCCCGGGCACAGCGTCACCCCCAGCCCATCCCTGCCAGGCAGCCGATCCCGCTCCCCCCCGGGGGGCTGCTGGAGGGTTTGCTGCCGCAGCCGTGAGGGAGGACACCGCCAAACCGATGCGTTACCAAAACGAAGTCCTGCGAAGCCCCTTGGGGTGGGGAAGGAGCCACAGCCCCCACGAGCAGCAGCCCCGTGAGCCGCCTCCTTGGCCAGACACGGGAACGGCCGTCTCGGACACCGCTGCTGAGACCTGGAAAAGGCCAGATATGAATATGCACGCATAGCCGAAATGCTCCCTTTGAGGAAAGTCTTCCTCCCCTATTAAGTAATTAAATAAAGCCCCGAGCTCTACTAAAATTAAAATAACAGAATCCATTTATTCTGGCAGGGCTCACTGGTGGCTGCTCTCGCCAAAAACATTTTTGTGGTTCTTGTCTTTTCAAGTGGCTCTTTTGCAATAAAACCCAGATGCCATTAGTCCAGGGAGGCCTTCAGGCATCTGTTTACGTCCGTGAAAGATGCCCTTTGTAATTAATTAATCTCCCAAAAGCTGTGGTAGCACATTCCCCGTGGCTGCTGGCGTGTCCCTGCCCGCCGGCCCTGGCAGCGGAGGGGCGGGCTCATTCCTGGGCGCTGAAGAAAGATTTTGTGCTGCCGCCTCGCCCCAAAAGGGGTTAATCTCCTCCTTGGGAAGACACAGCGGAGATTTCCACACTTATCAAAACACAAACAGAAGTCAGTTCGCTTTCCCGCTGCCCCTTCGGCGGCTCCTGCTCTTGCTCAAGTGTTATGTTATAGGGGCAGGGACCAGCCCGGGACCGAGCCGGCGGGTGGGGGGGAAGGGGGGTACAACCTCAGCTCTGTGCCCTTTCGGGGGTTCAGGTGCTTCCAGGTGACTCAGTCGTTGCAGGGCTTCTAAACCAGAGGGCAACAACACAACACCCGAGAAGTGTGGGCTTGGTGCACGTGGGGGAGAAAAAGGTGATTCATGAGACTGCCCTGAGCAAAAAACCATACAAACAGCTGCACTGGGGCAAAGCAAAGAGCCGTCCAGCCCCGTACCTTCTTCCAGATGGTGGCTGGTATCGGGTATCTACAGAGGAGTGTATGAAAGCGGGTGGTTTGCAGGGATCCCTCTCCTGTTATGTCCTCCCAGCTGAGGGCAATTGGGGTTGGGGGCTCCCTATGGCTGAAGTGGCTCTGGGACTCTCACCTTTCATTGCCACCAACTCAATTTGGCCAGTCTGTTTCCGAACCATTTACACTTTTGGCCTTTGCAGCATCAAGTGATGGCAAATCGCACTGTAGAATTACCTGTCTGCTTGGCAAAGGCTGTCCTCGTGCCGTTTTTGAACCCGTCTCCATCCTTAATGTCAGCAGCGATTGCCTTTATCTCTTCACATCCTTCAGGATGTGAGAAAACTCTCTCATACCCCCCCAGCTTGTTTTTTCTCTAGCCTGAATGTCCCTAATTCACGGAGTTTCCACCAAACAGAAACTCTCAGCAAACGTTTGGCTTCTCTAGGACCATGTCTCTGCTCAGCCGCTATGTAACGTGGTCGCAAATAGAAAGAAGTGCTTTAGGAAGGGTCAGTCCGAGCTGCCTCATTTGTAACATAACGACTCAGCCTGGGGTTTGGTTCTTATTGGGGTTTTTCGCTGTTGTTGGCTTTTCGTTGTTGCTTTTTTGATAGATGAGTTTAATTTTGCTGGCGTATTGCACAGGTTTGCAAAGCAGATGTTGCTGCTGCGGGATGGTACCAGTAAGGGAGGCAGGGAGCAGTTCATCATGGCACACGGCTCGTGCAACCACGGCAAGGTCAAAGACGAGGGGTCAGGGCTGGCGGGGGGATGCGGGTCCCTGCTCCTTGGGACCTGGGGCCACAGTTGCCACGAGAATTGCTGGTGGTGAACCTCACCGGCGCTGCAGCCGCCTCCCATCCATCTCCCGTTATCCCCGGGAAGGACCGGGCCGTTGGAAGGAGACCAAGCTCTGCTGAGAGCCTGGAAGGAGGGATAGATTTGTGTAACTAAACGATGATGGTGTGAATCGCTGGTGTTTAGATGCTGGCTCCTGTCCGGGGGTGATATACAGGATGACGCTAATGTGAGGGGACGGGATGTGGTGTGGCAGGCAAGGGGGAGCAAGGAGAGGAGCTGGGAGCGCCCAAGAGGAGCAAACGGCTGCTCTTATGTCTCCTACACCTTCCTGGCTTGCCTTGTTTAGCATGGAGGAGCTCAGGCTACCCTGCGGCCAAATTCTGCCATCCTTTAGCAAATCACACCCAGTGCCTGGCCCAGGAGGGCTTTGAACTCTCATGGGGACCATGGAGCAGGATGGACCCGGGCCAGATCCCCTTCCCGCTCCCGGCTGGGAGAGCTTCCCGAAGCAGCCGGCGTGTAGGATTTCTTTGGGTGGAAGAAGGA